GTGGCTCTTGAGCCCCTCACCCACCACAAGGATCAGAGTATGGATATGGAGAAAAGAGGATATAGGGAAAGGCTTTCAGAGTGCTTCCAGTGCCACCCCCGAAGGGCCAGACTTCCCACAACAAGATCAATGACAAGAGCTTGGTACATCCCCAGTGTTTGGGGAAGGTGCCCACCAGGGAAATCTAGCAGCCGATTGTGGCTGTCTGGATGCCCCCACGGCAGGAGAGAAGGAAGGACAAGTGCCACAGTGGGACCTGAACTCCAAAAGCACCCAGACCAGGATGCTCATGGGTGGAGCTGGGGTTTCCATCCCTCCCACCCTAGAATAATGGGATTCCTGTGGAGCAGACCCGTGTGGAGAGTATGGGCAGAAGCCCAAGGCCAGAGGATGAGGCAGAGAAAGCTCAGGAGCTGCCAAAAGGGCCTAATAGGGAAATCTGTGAGGGATCTGTGAATGTCCCCAGGAAGAAGAGAGATCAGCTCTGGCAATCTGAAGGCCTAGAGAACACCACATTCCTGTGACAGCCTTGTCAATCTAGAAGTTTCTGGCATTCTTCCCCCATCTCTGCCCTACACTCTAAGCCCGAAGGGCTGGTAATAGCAGCTATTACAGGAAGAGTAGGGAAGAGGTCAGTCCTACCTTTGCACACTCTACCTTCCCCAACCGCCACTCCTGCGCCAGGTAGGTAGCCTGCCCTTGCCAAGGAGGAGAACATTCCTATCCTTGGATAAAGACTGCAGTGTTGATTACCATGGGAACTAAACATGCTATGCAGCAAGTTAATGTAGAACTTATCACCTGAGGTAAGTCATGGGACTGCCCAAATTTTCATCCAATGACAAGGGAAAATTCTTCCACTGAATATATTTTTTTTCTTTCTTTCCATTTGTTTTGTTTTTTCTTTCTTTCTTTCTTTCTTTCTTTCTTTCTTTCTTTCTTTCTTTCTTTCTTTCTTTCTTTTTTTTTTTTTTTTTAGACAGTGTCTTCGTCTGTCACCTGGGCTAGATGCAGTGGCATCATCATAGCTCACAGCAACCTCAAACTCCTGGGCTCAAGTGATCCTCCTGCCTCAGCCTCCCCAGTATCTGGGACTACAGGTGCACACTAGCACATCTAGCTAATATTTCTAGTTTTAGTAGACAGGGGGTTTCATCCTTGCTCAGGCTGGTCTCAAACTCCTGGCCTCAAGCAATCCTTCTGCCTGAGCCTCCAGAGTGCAAGGATTACAGGTGTGAACCACTATGCCCAGCCTCTAAACCTTTTCATTTTAATTAATTTAATCTTTATAACAGTTCACAGTGCTCAGCTGAATGCCATGCTTAAAGTATGTCATTTTTTATTGTTTTTTAAGACAGAATCTCACTCTATTGCCTGGGCTAGAGTGCTGTAGCATCAGCCTAGCTCACAGCAACAACAAACTCCTAGGCTCAGCAATCCTACTGACTCTGTCTCTCGAGTAGCTGGGACTGCCGGCATGTCTCTGCATGTGCGGCTAATTATATATATATATATATATATTTTTTTTTTTTTTAGTTGTTCAGCTAATTTGTATTTTTTTAGTAGAGACGGGTCTCACTCTTGCTCAGGCTGATCTCAATCTCCTGAGCTCAATATAACCCCCTGCCTTGGCTTTCCAGAGTGCCAGGATTACAGGGGTTAGCCATCTGCCCGGCCTTGAAGTTCTTCTTAATCCTGGTAAAATAAGTCCTTGTTGAATGCATTTCTTGGCCCTAGGAACACATAGAGGATGGCGATGGTGTGTAGAACAAGCTGTCTCATTAAGTCTATCTTTTCTCCGATGAGGATCTGTTCACCCTGCCTCCTGTTATGGGCCCTTGATCGAGCCCAACGTTTGCTCACTGATCCACCATTTACTCTAACTTCTGCCATCCTAGTACTAACCTGGTCTAACCCTGTTTACCTTTCAAGATCAGGCAGGTTCCGGGTGGTATGGCAATAGACTAATTTCTTTTACACCTGAATCTTGCTTGCTCTTCATATCCTGCCCCTCCACCATCCACCCTCTCAACTCTGTCCTGATACCTGACAGCTCTTAGCTAAGCAGATGCCTTTATTTATAGCCAGAGGAGAGGCAAAGGGGAGGGGCTTGTCCAAGATCCAGCCACATGCAGAGTTGAGTCTCTGTCCAATCTAAGGCAGAGGCTCTGTGGCACATCAGGATGGGCGTGGATCAGGCCCTGACAGGCTCGCTTCCCCATCTTGCTTTGATTGGAGGCATGGAGTGTGGCAGTAGGAGGAAGTCCCAGCACCCTGGCTCAGGGGTTCGGAGGCTCAGCGAGCAGCTGAGGCCAGGCCTAGATGAAAGTGAGGTGGGTAGAAGCAGGGACGCCACAGCTTTCCTTGTGCTCCTCAAACAGCTGCTCCAGAGCCTTCATGTAGACGGCGTGATCGTGGTCAACTTCGTCCGTGGTGGGGTGGAGGCGCCGGGGCACAGGGATGGGGCGGCCCACTGCAGACAGAGGGAGACACAGGTGAGCGAGGGGCCCCCGCTGTCCACAGAGCGGTTGGCAGCCCCCCCACAGGTGGCACTCACCCACGGTGGTTATGGGCACAGCAAAGGGCAGCAGCCCCCAGGAGTTGGCCAAGAACAGACTGCGGCCCCAGAAGAAGAAAGGTGCAAAACCCAGGAGCTTCTTAAAGAGCATCTGGCACTGAAACTGCCAGGAGTCCTCAGGAAAAGCCTTGATTCTGAAGATATCATTCTCCCCAAAGGAGTACACGGGCACCAGCGAGGCCCTGGGAAGGGTGGCGAGAGAGAAGAGGGGTGCTCAGGCTGCTGGACTGTGCCCCCTAAGGGCATAACGGGGGCTCCAAGTTCCACCCCAGCTCTCATGAGGCCACATCCCAGGGCCTTCAAAGCACATGACTGTGCCTACAAAGAAAGATCTAGAAGAAGATACTCACATTTCTTAAGAAACAATTGTGTAGTTGGCCTTCACATACTCAGTTTCTCATTTAGTTGTTAGGACTATAACACAGTGGCTAGTCTGTATTAGGACTTTTCACAGGTAAAGAGACAAGTCCAAGGTCTTGCCTCTGAGATCAGGTCAGAAAGAGCATGCAGGGCTTCTGAGCCCAAGGACCTGCCATTGGCACGACGCCCCTGCCTCTGCGTTGCTTGAGGTGGGAGGGAGCCCGGGGAACGGGGCACAGGGCTTGGCTCAGAGCAAGACGCACAGGGCTGCCATGAGCCTCCAGGTCTAGGACACAGTGGTTGGCTCTGGGGACACAGACCCCCGTCCAGGGCCCCAGATGTGTAGGGACTGAGAGGGAGTGTAGACCCACAGAGAGTGGACAGCCCAGGGCAGCTGTGGAGTCACAGCCAGCAGGCCCTCCATGCCCACTCACCCGTGCCTCAGCGCCAGGCGCACAAAGCCTTTGCGTTTCCGGAGCGTGAGGCAGTGCTGCCCTGGGTTCGCAAACAGAATGTCCTGGGCACCCCCTATGACAATACCCACAGCCTCCCCATGCTGGGGCTGGGACAGGACAAAGTCCAGGCTCTGGCGGTTCACTGGACGCATTCCTGTAGGCAGGGGTAGGTGGGAAGCAGTCAGCACCCTGTCCATAGGCCCTTGGCCCCTCACCCTTAGTATAGGACAGGTGAACCCTTATCCTCTTCCTTCCAAACCTGCACCCAATCCCCATGTCAGAGCCCAACAGTGAAGCCACTCACTGATGCCTGCTGGGAGCCTGGCCGATGTTCAGGCCAGGTCCCTGCACTCCGGAGGGGATGCTGGGGGTGTCCCAGTGTGTGGGGAGCAATCGCCCAACTCTGCTAGAGGCTCACCATAGCCCATGATGTAGTCTCAGTAGACTCGGAGGCAGAAGAGGCCACTCAGACCAGTTAGACGAGTCCAAATCCCTGGGAAGTGCTTGGAGAAGTAATTGCCCTCCGTGGAGAGATTACAGAAAACTCCGGTGCACATGACCCCATGTGGGTGACTGCCCACCACGTACTTCTGGTTGGGGGGCAGCTCTGCTGTTTTCACCAGCTTCAGGGTGTTGGGCAGGATGAGCGGGGGAGGCAGAGAAGGGAAGACACCAGCTGAAAA